ACCACAGAGGGGTCCATATTAACGAGACATCGCTGTAGTAGTATCTGAAATAAAGCAGGCGCTATGTTTTTCTTGGCGGATAGGGCGGTGATGGCTTTTAACATACGCTGCGCGACATGACACTCCAAACGCCAACACGACATTCGTTTTTTTTTTTTTTTTCACGTGGTATTTTGAATTATCATTAGTAACAATCATATTTTACCGCTTAGGTTAGTGAACTTTCCATAGTTCTAGTAGTTTTAATAACAATCCTTGAATTCTAAAATAAAAATTAAAAAACGGCGATTACTTGTTCGCGTTCAGAGTGTCGTGCTATCTAGAAGCACACAAGTATTTATAGGTAAGCTAAAGCGGTTTTGTATTTGAGTAAAACACTTAAATCGTCTGTATTTATCCTCCAGCATTATGAATATAAAGATTATTGTTCGATTTGGTGCACGGAGGCTGAAGACAAAAAAATTCAAAGTACCGCTGAAGCCCCTTCTTCCCGCATCGTGAAGTGATATTAAAAGTTTTCGGAATCTATGCTCTCGCGCATCTTCAGCGCCTAGCAAAGCTATGCACGCGCCCTCTTGCTGTTTTCAAAAAGGTCAGAAAAAGACGTCACGACTAGTGTCAGCGCGAAGGAATATACCTGGCAAGCTTGCAATTCCACGCGCTGTCCACACGAGCGACACGCGCTTGGCGGCCGAAAGATCCTTTAATGACGTAACGACTGGTCGGAGGTTTTTCATGTTATCTCGCGTTTAGCTACATCTCTGGGGAAAACGAACGTGATATTCAAATTCACGGGGTAAAAATATTCTAGAATTACCCTCTAACTCGTTTTTTTTTTTTTTTCAAGAACCTTTTTAGCTTCTTTTAACGTGCACCACGCAGTAGGGATACACGACCGCAAGCCAGTATGATGCTCATCCAGATCCAAACGGGCAGGAATGTCCTATACTCTGTTTCACCTTTTGATGTACCGCAGGAAAGGCTACAAGCGCGAGCTCCTTGCTCTAGGGCACATCTCGGCGGCACAAGCTCTCGTAGGCTAAGTGTAGCTCCCAACGCTATCAGCTCGCGCTTCTAGCCTTGTCTGCGGTACAATATAAGATGAAACGGAGCATAGCGATTTTACTGCCCTGACTACATTTCTCATTTACAGCTGAGACACCAGACGCCCATTAAGGTTGACTAAATTCCGGCTCTATCCACATACACATAATGTATCGAGTTTTCAAATATAATCTTTGCTTCTCGGAGGGTTTACACATTCGTTTGCTTTTTTTTTTTGTTTTGTTTTAGGCGAATTATATATCCGCAATTACGTGGCCGAACGGGAACCTTGCTCTTTTAAACAGCAATCCCGATGGCAATGTCTCATGAAGTTAAACATGATTGCAATAAAGATTTTGTTTAAGCTCTCCATCATTACCCTGATACAGAAAAACCCCGTTTCGAAAACAAATTCATTTCCCGGCTATCAAGTTTCGCAAAGCTCCGTTTCTCTCTTCATGGAGAAATCGAGCTCCGCTTGGACGCAAATAAAACTGTAACAAAATATTTCAGATTGCTTCAAAGAGAAACGATAAATGGGCAAACACCATCTTAAACTACACGAGAAAAACCTTCACTGAACGTGGAACGTCGAGGACGGACGATAAATAGGCTCGGGAATGATCGAAATTTAATTTGTCCTCCTTCGAAAAAGATACGAAGCCCGTGATGGATGGCGACGGCATGAAGTGCGCCGGGTTCAATCTTCGCAGTACAGCACAAAAACGTCGCTGCGAAAAGAAAAAAAAGAAAAAAAAAGAAAGAAAGAAAGTATATACCTGATGAAGAGCTGTCCCCGCTCGAAACGTCGCATTAAACTCCATAGTAACTCTCAGAATACACGTTTATTTATATATACTTCTCTACGACAACAACGGAATAAGGTCATTTTTTTCCAATGCGTTCTTTTTTTTTTCCTTTTTTTTTTTCGAATGAAAAATCTTGGCACTCGCAGTTTGTCGGGGTAACGTCGTCGGAAAAACAACAAAAAAGGTCATTTGCTTAACCAATGTCATTTTATCAATATAGGTTGTAGATCTTTAAATTTCCCACGCGAAACAAATTTTGAACCAATGTTAAAGGATCGACCGCGACAGTTTTCTCGCATTGAATCTGTCTCGTCTTGTGGTTTTCAAGCCTTTCCACGCACATTTTCGGACGAAAGTACTTAGGGGCGTCTTTTATCTTCAGTGAAAACATAAACCACGTCCTGCAATATCCGGAAACGGCCCACGAAGTGACAAACAATTCGATCTACATCATGATTCTAAGGGATGACATGGTATACAATAGGATCCGGTCTGCAATATGACCCCAAGGAATGACACGCACGTAACTTGCTTCTTGTTTTAAAAATAAACTGCACGGATCTCGAGCAGATGACGAGTTGAGAATGGGCGCCCTTGTCGAAGAAAGGTCTAAGCGCTCAACGCAAACAATAGAAGGCCAAACGCAAGATTCTAGTGACATATTAATGTCGAGAGTTGGGCTAGTTGGTATTCGTTGATCATAATGTAAAAACAGCGCAAACAAACACGGACGAAGGAGAAGAAACTTCCTTTTTCAAGTAATAAAGTTTCAGTTGCGAGTCAGCGCTTGTCCCGTCTGCGTGTTTCTTCTCCTCCGTCCGTGTTTGTTTGCGCTGTTTTTACGTTATGATTAGTGACATATACTTTAAGCGGTACGTTGGGAGCAGTATTAGAATCAGAATAAAGTAAAGTTCGCTTGCCCTCAGAATAGAATAGTTTTTTTGAACACTCCATCGCTCCATCCATCTTCAAATAGTGGTGCGCGATGCATAAACTTTAATTAAATGGTGAAAAAAAAAAAGTTTTACCGAGTCTCATTTCTCTCACTCTTAACTGCTTCATATAAGGGGCAACTAAGCGAGGTTTGGGGCAGCCCTCGTTTCCACTGTCCGTCCCACAGTGCGGACGAAAGAAAAAATAGGTTGCAACGCAAGAAGAATACACTTTAGCATTGGAGCAGCTAACCGTGATTTAGAAACGAGCGGCCCTTATGTGGTGTCTATTTTACAATACGCGACTGCGAGTGATGCCGTAAAGCGAGCGGAGACCTTCGCAGCTCTATCGGTGCACGTCAACGATGCGGTTGCTGGAACTATGCCACGTAGTTATTGAGATGTTGCTCCGAAATGTCGTCGATTTCTACCGTACTTCACTTCCAGTAGCATCCACGCGTGGGCCATTTATCGGTTACGGATAGGATACACATAGCCCCCGGACACTGAAAATTGTGTGCGTGTCCGCTTCTCTTCTCCCCTTTTGAAACGACTTCGTTTGTACCTCAGCTCATTCATTTCTCTACCTTGGAACTCGAGTTTCTCATCATAAGTAGGAGTCACAATGTCTCAAATTTCTCTGAGCCCTTCCAACGCTTATTACTACCGTATTTTCTGGTGTATAGTCCGCGGACTATGCATGTTTAAAAGTTGAAATTTTACCCGGTGCAGACTATCTACAGGTGCGGACTATACGAGGTTTCGTATTTGTCTAGATGGTTCACCGCGACCAGACGTGAAGTATTGTATGGATAACCGACTATATTAAAGGGGCTGGGGCACGAAAATTCAACGGATAGATTATTCTTGAAACGGAATCCCCATAGTCTACTTAGTGTATTCACCAAGTTTCGCGATTTTTAGAGCTCTAGTAATTGCAATAATCAACTTACGAATGTCGATCATTTTCATCTGGCGACCAGGCAACACTGCTCAAGTTAGTCACACCATGGCGCCCATAAACCCCGTGATCATGAAATCTCTCTCATTGTAGGCGCCCCCATTATCGCCCAAGCCCGCCTCGCCGCGGTGCGATCCAAACCGCTCACGCAACCCGTCAACCCCCAACGATATTCTCGCTCTCGCCCACCGCCCTTCGAACTTCCGCTCTGCATGCGCCTGCGAGATTGTCCCGGACGACGGCGATCACGGCGAATTCGTCCGTGACTCTGCCGCCGCTGGAGCTGGTCGCCAGCGGGTCGTAGTGAAAATGAACAGCTTCCTGCATATCTTGATAACAATCACTCCCATCGCCGCTGCAATCAGTGTCGAAGACTTCGACGAAGCGAGCGGTGCCATAGACGTAATCGTCACGAACCGCAGGCTCGAGACGCCAAGAGAGTCAAGTCTGCCAGCGCGTGCACGGGGACGCCGCGCGGTTGGCTGGTGACGTCGCCAGCCCTTCAGTCACAGCGATCTTTTCGAATGGGGCAGATCCGAGGCTCCCGAATATAATAAATCGATTTATCCAAGAAACTATCGCGCCGTTTTTAAAACAAATTTAGCGGGATTATAGCAGCATACAATGGGTCCTAGCAGTATATTTATCTCAAATTTTATCTCTGGCGTGTTCTTACCCCTTTAATGGTGATCTGTTTTGTGGTACAAGCTACTTTGCGTGCTTATAAAGAAGGCATTTGTCAAGATGTGCTGTGTATGATCATTAATTTTATGTTGGGATTAGGCACTAATTGCGGACTATGCACCGCGTGAGGACTATGCACCGGGTGCGGGATCTCTAAGGATTTCTTTTTTTTTTTTTTAAGCTGTAATGTGATATGGTATTACCCCGAGTTATCTTATTCGCATTGGAAGAAACATACCGCTTTCTTCAAGATGACGAAACGTAATATTGGTGGTAGTTTTACGTATTCCGTTAGCAGACGGCTGCCGAGAAGTGCTGTCTGCGACGGATAAGTAAAAATTAAAATGGCGCCTATGTTCTGCAAACAGACAACTAGCCGATGCAGTTCGACATTCATTTAGTGACGGATCAAAGATACATTAGCTAGGTGTGTTTCCTATCTCAATGAAATGCGCAAATTTCACTGTCTTTGTTTTTTATTGTCGATAATTTGTCTTTACATCCCCATTTTCCTCACGTATCTTTAGAAGTAAAAAAACATTGCACAAAATTTAGACAACGAGTACTCACCCCAGATGTCTTGGGTCGGCAGGAAGCGGTGGCAGCGAAATTCACGACATTGTTCTCCGTCTGCAAAGAAAGCAGGGGTAAAAAATCAGAACTTCACGAGCGTTGAACAACTGAGGATGACTTTCAATTATAACTATATATCGAAAGTGCAGCATCCCAAAAAACGACGCGACGCGTTTTCTCGGAAAGTCCGCGCAAAGAGCGCCACAAATAATCTAACGTCAAAGTGGGCCATCAGAAATATAAACGGAGATTTCCAATCGCTTCTGTAACTCTATCTTCGGCGCTTGTTTTAATGTTTATTTTTCTTGATCATTTTCTGGGGACAATTCAGCCTCGGGAAACCCAAACATTCGAGAAGGATTACTGTCCGAGTGATGATCGCGAAACTTAAATTGATAGCCCCAGATTTTGGCGGGGTTGTCGTCGGTTCCCCCGGTTTTATTAGAATCCATTTTTTATTCTTTGCACTTCTCTCATCCTTTTTTTTTTTTTTTCCCGGCGTCCTCCGAGTTCCGGGCGATTCGTTCTCCCAAATGCGCACCATCAATCTGCGAGGCCTAAACCCACGCGCGACAATTCCAGACAAAACAGACAAACACGGCCAACGGACAACGAGCACCGCAAACACACACACACTCGGGCGCGTAAAGCCAGTGGGAGGCAACAAACACTTCTTAGCGGTGACGTCAGGCATCGCCCAAGGGAAGATTGGGCACCGCTTTGGGAAGGCCATCGCGGCGAGAAGCGTTTAATGCTCTGGATCACCGCGAATGCGAGTCTCCGAAAGAAGAGGTGGGAGAGAGAGCAGAGGTTCGTGGCATCCGTCTTGCGCCACAGAACGCTCGAAATCCAGCGGAAGGCACTCGTCATTTCCGCTACCAATTGCAGCAGCCGCGCCGAATCACGGCGAAGCTGATGTCTCCCTTTGGACGTCACAAGACAGACTCAGAAGGACATTTGACGCGTGGGGTGAGATAGAACTACCTCTGCGAAAAAAATGTATTTACCAGATTGATGCTAAAAACCTTACTTGCTACAAACCTTACAATGCGAAGAAAAGTGAACACACATATATGAGGTGTAGGGCCCATTTTATGTAAAGTAGTGAGAGAAATGTAAAGGCTTATTCACACTGCCCCATCACCGAAACTTTCGTATGTCGAATGTCGCGTGTCATGCTTCCTCCTTGAACTGGTAGCCTCGCTTAATATGAAGCACAGAGGTCCCGGTGATTTCTACGTAATATTTCGTTACGTAACTTGACGTAAGAAAATGGGGCAGTGTGAACCAGCCTTAAGTCTCTGGAAGTATATATCGTTGGTCCTTTTTTGTATCTATTTACAACTTTTGCTGTTGTTGTTGTTGTTTTTTTTTTTGCATTAATTACCTGGCGATAAATTTGATGCACAGAGAAAGTGCGCGCGGCTAACTTTAACGTTTATCTTAGGGCCGGTTGCACCACCTCCGCTTACTTTAACCCAAAGCGGCTCTTTCTTAAGTTGGCTTGGCGCCCTAAACCGAGCTCGGCTAAGCAGGAACTTAAATTCTGGTTGCACCAACATTAACTCGGGCTTACACACGCGCCCCTAGATAAACGCTGGATTTGCGCAGGGAATGCAGGGGCAAACAAAGCTAACTAGGGAACGCTCAGAGGGACGAATACGATTGGCGGAGAGGAATCACGTGATGTAAACATGAGCTCTGCCGTTGTAGTCGGCGCTGCAGGCTGCTTTTCGCGGTGTTTCTTCTGTGAGTGACGAATTAAACGTTTCGAAATCCAAGCATTCATACGCTGGCTTTTCAGAAACAGGAGTCAAAGCTTTAAATAAACATGAAAGCTCTCTACATCTGTGATTCTGTGTTTACTATCGGGTGATACCAGCATATTTTGACAGTGACAGTATAGTTTTCGAGCTCACATTTCGAGATACAGGAGCCATCCGGGGGCTTGAAATTTCACCGAACGCGAGAAGGACGCACTACTCGCTACATCGCTGAAGACTGCCAAAACATCATGGAGAATAAATAGGTAGATGAATACAAAAATCAAGAATCATGCCTGAGACCGAAGAAGTTCAAAACACTGACGAGCTCGCCAGGGCAGCTGCGAAGTACCCGGGAAAACGCCGAATAGAAGGCGTCGAGTAATCAGGTCGCCGGGTAGGGTTCCTTGCATCGACCGTACTCCTTGCCCTCAGCAAGGTGGCTGAGATGGTCTGTACCATCGTTGAGAATTTGCGGCAGTCCAAAACGTACTTGAGTTTCACACTGCGCTGTTCGAATGTAGCTGTGCAGTGTCATTCATTTCACAGCGAATCTGTATATGACACGCATGTCAGATTTCTGGAATTGTTTCGTGTCGTCGTCCTCACAGAAAAAAATAAATAAATAAAACCTTTAGCGATTGAAGCGAAAAGAGCATACTTTATGCACACAACATACAGCACAGCATTCGTTTCAATAAAGGGCAAGCACAAAACAAGCAGCCGAACCAGATAATTGATGGGCGCTTCTGATAACAATTGCGAAGCACGTAGCGCTCACCGCATACGTTTCACGGTAAAGATTACTGTTGCGCAAGCTGCCGCGGTGACGGCAGCTAGCGACGTGGGAAATGACGTCACTAGCCTTTCATATTTGACTGTTTACAAACATGAACTGCCCTTTCACTGTTTACAAACATGAACTGCCGCTTGCATGCGACTTCCAGTCACTCCGTGTTTGCCAGCCTGTCGAGCTTGCTTATGCGACAGGCAACAAAGTTGTAGATTTGATGAGGGCCTTCGGCTGCACAATTTAATGTCTTGGAGGATTCAAGTTGGTTTACAAGATTATTTGAAAATGTTTAATAGATCTCGCGCTTCTTTGTTTCCTTGGCGTTCACCCGGAGAATCGGTGGTAACGGTTCATCGACATTTCTGGCAGCAGTATTGAGGTGGTCTTTGTTCATTATTTTTATGAACCGGAAGTTCTTTGGGACGTGAACGACTTGAGTGCCGCCTGGTGGCGTTTGCCGTGAATGGGGCATATGAAAAGTTTTGGTAAAGTGCATTCACTTTCCTATCGTCAGTCATTCGGTATAGCGCAGTGAATAATCATTGCAGGTGATACCACATCTTCGCTGGCTAACCACCTTCACAGCGTGGATTGGCGCCCCGAATTTTTTTGTTTATTCTATGTGCTCCTCCGCTGGCACAGATTACTTGTCTACTTTATATATGCCCCAGTACGCCAATATCCTGAAAAGGGAACTCACGGTGAGCAGTTTGAACAGCTCGCGATCCCCAAGCCGATAACTTAAAGAACGAGCCTATTTTGCCGGCAGAAAGCACAGTAGTCGGGGCGAAAAAATGCCGGCAGTTTCCTCCCATTGTCTGGCTGGAACCACGTAACTATAGACATTGCAAGCATGGCGCCACAAGTGGTGCCCCATGCGTGCAAGCGCGTGCAACGCGCGGGTGAACGTACCTTTGGCAAGCTCGTAATCGCACGGACGTGCCTGCTCGAGCAGAGACATGGCGGCGGCCAGTCGCCCAGCTTGCAATCGTCTATAGACCTTTCCAAAAAGGAGCGTATGGCCGGTGAAATTTTGAGTGTTCGTGCGTATGGCGCGTGCTTTCCTCGCTTTCCGAAGCGACGAACACGCACGTGCTGGGCGGTGAAGATCGCACGCTGGACTGTGATTTTGTAAACTTTGGAAAGGTGTATACTGCCGGCATATTTTTGCGGTTATCACAACCCATTTTTGCGGGTGTCATATTTTCGCGTGTATCCCTGGGGCGCGTGTTAACCTTTGCCCACCTTTGTTCACGTCGCGTCGCGGCGAGAGTCTGCGGCGGTTCATTACCAAACTGTTAACCCACCTGGCCCGCTCGTGCACGCCACTTTGCGGCGGCCTCGCCCGCCTCGCTCACCGGCAGACAAGCGTCAAAAATACACCATTGCAAAATTTACAAGTCTTCATCCCAACGTACAATGTCCTCAGCCCAGCATGCGCATGTTCGTTGCTTCGGAAAGCGAGCAAATCACGCGAGTTACGCACGAACACTAAAAACATCAAATACCCAAAGGTCGCCCAGAACCATTTTTTTTATTCCTGCTGATAGAGAACCAGAAGCTCATTCGCGAGTGATAACAGGCCGATCTGGAGTTCACTAAGAGTAATACTTTTGCCTACCTAGTTGAACAAATATACGGCGGTGTCCCCCCCCCCCCCCCCCCCCCTTTAAAGTACCGAAAACTCCCACTAATTCATGACATCCTGTCGACGAGAACGATCGTCTCTCCGCACTACTTGGCGCAGCCTGCCCCAATACAGTGCTAAAAAAATCTCGCACCGTAGTCGTTATGATTTGTCGTCGCCACAAAGGAAAGGTATACATCCAAATATATCTAGGAAATCACGATCACTAGCGAAGTTGCCGTTCTCGAACGCTACAGTTTTCTGGAGTTAAGATTCTACCCGCGAGAAAAGGAAACTTCACTAATGATTGTCACAAAGCTTTTAAAAAGAAATATATATCATTTTCGCTGTTTTATTATTAAAAATAGTGGTTCGCCGCATTCTGATGCGAACGGCAGAAATGCCGAAAAAAAAAATACTGATCTCCGAGATTCATGCACTGCCGCCATTCAACTCACCGATAGCAATGAAGGATATGCGTTGCAAGTAAAAATCAACAAGGTTGTAAATAGCAACACGTTACAGCTATGCAAAAATAAGCAAGTGCATACGAATAAGCTCGATGACGAAAAAACTAACGCGAAAACTGACGTGAGCCCCACAGCTGCGCACTTTTCCCGGTTAAGCGCAGCCCAAACTGAAACCAAAACCGAAAAAAAAAAAAAAAATCGTGTTTTGGCGCACGAAATACGGAGAGGGATTGTACGTCTTTGGACGGCCACACGGAAAACATGGGCGTATTCTGAATACGGGCGAAGAAACTGTCTCCACTGTCGAGCAAATAGCGCGTAGCCTGGTCCACGATGCGGCGACATCGGCAACGTCGATCGGTTTCTGGCGCAATGCTCGGCGCCGATCGAGCGAAACGACATCA